CAATCATTGAACCCAGGAAATGAGCATCCGTATAGACTGTTAACTAATCTACCAATCTTATCCAGTTCCTCCAGTAATGTCCTTCTTCTGGTTCAGGATCCAGTCCATTATCCCACAATGCATTTAGTCATCATGTCTCCCTATTCTCCTTCACTCTGTGATAATATCCTAGTCTGTTTTTTCTCTTTCATGACCTTGACCCTTTCTAAGGGTACTGGCCAGTTACTTTATTGAATGTCCCTCCATTTGAGTTTGTCATACATTTCTCATGATCAAAATGGCATTCCTGGCCAGCACAGTGGGGTGCACTGTGGCTCCAGCTACTCAGGAGGCTGAGGGAAGGGGATTGCTTGAGCCCAGAAGTTTGAGTTCAGCTTGGGCAACACAATGGAACCCCAACTGTTAAATACACACACATTAAGATTATTAATTTTTGGCAAGTATACTATAGAGGCACCCTTCTCAGTACACAATATCAGAGTGTGGATTTCTTTTTACTGATGTTAACCTTGAGTCAAAGCTATTGTTAGAGATGTTATTTATAAAGCGTTAGATCATTTATTTGAAAAGTTTGGTATCTATTTCATGCTACTGAAGTGTTTCTTTATTTTTAAAGCTATTTTTCTTACAATACAAATTTGTGGCACTTCCCGTGTGTAGCTTGTTGATTGGACAGGCTCTGTATCTTCCAAAGGGACACACCCCAGGCCATATCTGATTAATCTGTAGGTAGATTGTTGATTGGAGGGCAGCCATCACATTGCCTGGCCAAACCAAGTAACTTGGAACTATTTTGAAGAAAATCAACTGGGCCAATGAATTCTTTGTGGAGATGGGATACTGAACTAGGAAACTGAGACAATAAAGTATTGATAGCAACTCTTGAGATAAAATGCAACATATAGCCAGGTGTGAGGTGGCTATTCTAGGACACATGCAAGATGAGCAAATAGAAGTAGCCAGTCACTTGAAGAGAAGGAACAATATGCCCAGAGTGAAAAGGAACCAAGAGAAAGACACAGATGCAGCAAAATAAAAGACATACTGTAGTTCAAAAGACAGACAATGAATGAGACCAAATGGATCCTTGTGAGATATCTTGAGATATTTATGCTAGGTTCCTTGCAGCTTTCTAGGATGTGGATTCCATTTCCTTAAGAAATATTGTCTTTGCAGCCAGGGACACATGCCTGTAGTCTGTGCTATGCAGAAGGCTGAGGTGGGAGGATTGCTTGAACACAGGAATTTGAGGTCAGCCTGGGCAACACAGTAAGACCCCATCACAAAAAAAAAAAAAAAAAAAGAAAGAAAAAAGACTGTTGTCCTTGGATTTCTACAAGTTTCCCATTTATAGTGTAAAAACTGAGCTGGCATAAAGGGGTCTCTGTTTTCTGTAATGAAAATTTACCTGACTAAAACATAAGTAAATAAAACAATATTTGGGAAGCACAATTAAATTAAAAACATATAGCATGTTAACTGTGGCAGAATCCAGGTAAAGCTGAGTGCATGTTAAATCTTTTGTTTTTATTCCAGTTTTACAAAGCTGATATGATTGACTGCAAATTAATCTAGACATTGTTCAGGGTAGGAATATTTCATCACTGAATTTGCTCCATGGTTCCATGGCCTGAAGGAAATCTCAATTAAAACAGTTCTTAATGCAGCATTAACCTTGCTGATCTCAAGTGTTTATTTTTTCCTGTTACATAGTGTATGTTATTCTTTCATCAGTGTGACCTTAATCATCCACAGATTTGTCAGGTATTGTTGAATACAGTATTCTAAATAACCTAGGACCCAAAAGCTCCAAGGTACATGCTTGTCTGATTGGGCAAATAGTACAATGTTGGAAATTCTTTTTCTCTTCTGTTAGCTTAATTTAAAGAAGCAGCAGTTGTTTTCTAAAACTAATGCAAGTCCAAATAGCTTAATTTTCACAGTGAAAGGTAATTCTTAACTTTCTTAGTTTTTCATCATCTAGGTGTGTACTCTTCAGTGTAAAGAGTTAAAACGTTTATGACTTGTCTTTTTTTATGAGTGAAGAAAAACTTGTGAAAATTGTGATTTTTCATTAACATTCTAGCTTAAATCTTTGTTTTTGAAGGAAAATCTCAAAGGAATACACACAAACACACACATGCCAACACATGCAGGTACACATTAATATATACACATACATATAAGTACCTTTTAAAACAATAGTTGTATATTTTTACAGCCATTCCACTACAAATGAAGCAATGCATGTATCTGTTGTTGGTTTCTTGTAAGGTTCTTCCATCAATTCCTTGAAAATATTCAAAATGAAACAAATGATGCTCTTTGTAACAGAAGGTTAGAACTAGCATATAATTTTGCTTCAAAGTGAGTCTAGGACCCCTAACAGGTCTTAAAATACAAACATTTATAATACGTAATTTTGTTTTAGCATGCAATAATAGTTTACTTTGGAAATATGAAACAAAATATATTGATATGAAAAATAAAGCATATTCTCCCCTAAATACTGATGAGGACTGCTTGATGGCAAGTGGGAAAGTGTAACGTATAATAAATTGTACCTAGGAAATTTGGCATTGTACATCCAACAAAGACAAAGAATCACTGAACTCTGCCTTTCTGGGATACATTGCTTAGAACTAGTAAAAAACTGAAGGAATCATTTACTTTATAAAAGATAATTGTACAAACTTTGACCATGAAGTGCTTCCATATGGCATTGGCATTAAGAAGTAGGACTATATTCGTAAGTTAACTATGTTAGGCTTTTACTCTTTATGTTTATTGAACATGATTGTTTTATATATTATTACATTTATAAGATATTAAACCTCTTATAAATACATATCCCTGTATTGAACCATATTAATAAATAAATAGGCATAATATTAATTGCTGACCTCTGTATATTATTTTACTTTAGGATGAGCTGCTTATAAAAAAGGTTTTGGATGAGGTGTTTATAAAAGGCACTCAGTAGATACTTGTCAAATGAGTTCCTTTTTACTAGATGAATTTGCCAGTAGCTTGGGGGATTTGGTGAAAACCATCTGGATAGTTATTCTCCTTAATCTAAATTAAGTGGTGTTTATGCTGTGATGGAGTTGTGAATTGATATTTAAATTAGTTAAGCTTACTGGAACTAGAGTACAAGGTTTTTGAGTCCTGAGTTGTTGGCATGATAAAATGAGTTAGTACCCAGAAAATCCGTCAGTATTCAAACCACAGACAATACTCAGTAAAGGTTTACTCTTATTATCCTTCTGAAAGAAAGATTTCTTAAGGTGCTCAAAAATTTGGTGCTGTAAGTTTATTAAGGTATCCTTCTTAGTATGAATCATATCTTTGGCTGCAGAAATACTCATATGTTAGATTACAAACTGCTTTCCCCAACTCTGCTTAGAGTGTTATGAAAGAGAAGGCATTTGTACTGTTAACTTTCTAAAATTGCAAAAAATCTAAATTCTAAAACATCTATGTTCCTAAAACTTTTGGATGTGGAATTGTGGATCTCTATTTAATTTGATGGTACAGAGAAACAAAATCACTCATACATTCTCAGTGAGATTATAAATTAGTACTTTTCAGTGAGTGGGAAGGTGGAAATCTGGCAATATATGTCAAAAACAATAAAAAGATGCATGCCCTTTGATCCAAAATTTCACATCTAGGAATTTGCCCATACTATATTACAGAAAAATGATAAAAGATTTACATTTTAGTAAGTCCAATACAGATGACACATGACAAGTAAAAACTGGAAAGTCCCAAACGTTCAATAACAGAAAAATGATGGAATTACACAGTTTCTAGCCATGCTGCAGACTACTGCTATTGCCATCTTAAAAATGATATTGTTCAGTAGCACACATTCACATTGAATGACATCCTTGATATTCTATTAAGTAGAAATATCAGGCAATAAAAGTAATATGCACCATATGATGTAATTTCTTTTAAAAGTATTTGCACATATACACATAGAACATTATGTAAAAGATATTCACCAAAATGTTAAAAGTGGTTATTTCTGGGTGGCAGGGTTGCAGATAATTCCAGTTTTCTTTTGATAACTGTGCTTTGTCAAGAGTAATATGTATTATTACTATAATAATAAAACTTTTAAACATCACTGAAATACATTATTTAAACATGTCAAAACATCTTAGGTTTCAAATTCTATATATGTAAAAATTCATATCTATCAAGAAAATACAACATTCTTCACATTTGAAGGAGTTAATAATTATAAAGCCTTGGCATATTTGGAAAACAGTATTATGAAGCAAAGCCTAGTTTTCAGACAGCAGGTGTTTACCTATAATAGGATTTCTAGTATTGATGATATTTTAAAATATGTGTATGTGTGAATTAAAATTAGCCATGGAGATTTGAAAATATGAAATATATTATTAAGGAAAATATCTTCACAGTTTTATAGCTTAGTTTTAAATATGCCCAAAGAGTACATTGGCAGCGTTCAAATTCTGACCTATGTAGAGTAAGAGCAAGCTAACCATCTCAAATAGTGGGATATCAATTGAGAATTTATAATGGCTTTGTTTTAGTCATCAGAAACAATTTGCTATCCTCAGAAATATATTTTGAAAACATGGTCTTTGTCCTGAAATGCTCCTTTAGCAATACAAATAAATAAGGGAAACATATGCACTTTCAGGAAAGCAATTTGCCTTCTATATTGCACTAAATGGTGATAACGTGATGACATGCCATCTTACTATTTCTCATGAGATAAATGGCAGACGCAGCAGCATATCTGCAGAGAATAGAGCTCTGTGTTTTAACTGCCAATTTTCAAGTCAGTGCCTCTTATAGTTTCTATAATATGTTCTGAAATTTCTTGCTGACTCTGAATGCTTTGTTCCACTTTGGTAGACCGTTTCTGCAATCCATGAACAATTAAATTATATTACTTTTATTAGAAAATGTGATATCTGTTCTTTATTAACTGAAAGATATAACTCTTTATTTTTCAGAGCTTCCATATGGCTGGGAAAAAATCGATGATCCCATTTATGGCACTTATTATGTTGAGTAAGTCTCTAAGTGTGATATTAACTTGTTATTAATATGCTGTGAAATTATGTTAGTATTTTATTTATTGAGCATGTGTGGCTAACAGCCCCTTCATTTCCCTTTCATCTTACTTTGAAGTATCCACCAAGACTAGCAGCACTAGCTAGCTGTTTCTTTCCTCTCCAGCTGGCTAATTTGTCATTCCCTTCCTTTGACTCAACGATTCTAAAACACCAATTGAAAAAGTGTGTTTCACACTGTCCTCTAAATGAGTGATAATTAAAGATATCAAAGTAAATGCCTTTCATTTTGCAATCAAAATGTTGGGAGCTGACTGGTTGTGCAAATGAGATGTTCTATTAAAACAGATTTCAAAGTCAATTAAATGAATCAGCCATATTTTGTACTTGAAAAATAAAATAAAATTTAGAATTTTTTTTTTAAGGACATCATTCCAAATCAACAGTATTCTTTCAGTACATTGGACTTCTATGTTACCTATTGGAGGTTAAACTGTAATAATTTGTCATGGTGTGAATTATCCCCCCCATGCATTCTTTTATTCAGAATAAAGAAACCATTTGGAGTTAAATTACATATACATACTTTTCTTGGAAAATAAGTCATATTCATAATTTTCAAAAGTTAAATATGTGATTAATTTTTCTAGAACTCTCTCTTCCTGTAGACAATTTTTTTTAATTCTTACCTATTGTATAATGTTCCTAAAGTTATTTGGGTGAATAACAAAGCCTACATTTTCCTGGGAAACACTACCCAAGAAATACAGAGTTTGAAAAACAAATGACTTCACATTGTTCATTAAGATCTTACTTTGTTTTCTCCAACCACATTCTGTTTAACAATAATTACAGATAGTCAAGGATTACAGGTTAGCTTTAGTGCTAAATTGTTTTTGTAACAATATTCAAACCATTACTGAGCTGTTATTAGGTGTCAAGCCCTTCTTGGCACTGGAGATGTACAGATAAGTAAAATCTGTGTGCTCCTTGACTTTTAGTATGTCCCTCAGGAGAACTTGTCTTGAATATTTTCATCCATCATTTTCGTTTGGAGAAGCCCCAATTTTGGCTTCACAGTCAGTCATTTCCAGATTCACAGTCAAGGTGAATTGAGCTCATTTGCCACACGCAATCTTCTAGCATAGTCTCTAATGTATAGTGTCACACGGACACTGAATAGATACAAAAATGTAAGATAAATACACAGAGGCATCTCTAGCTGAAAAAATAAAGAGATATCATTTGTAAATAGTTATAAGCCCTCTGTGTCCCATTAGACTGCAGATCAATTAAAGTAGCCCTATATTTTCAATAACATAGTTACAATTCTTAGATAAATATTACATGTTTCAAATAAATGCTGGCTTATCTTAATTCACTAAATCAAACTGTACTGTATCTAAGCCTATTACATTAGATATTCAAGGAAATTCCATGTAAGGAAGGAGAATTTAAGTGTGAGACTTATCAGATCTTTTGTGTATTCCTCACAGAATCATTGAATAAGAACCATTCCTTCATCTGTATATTGGCAAAATCCATAATAACCCTGATAGCAAATATTTAGGGTGGAGGACGATATGGCCTCTGTCACAACTACTCAGCTCTGCTGTTGTAGCTTAAAAGCAACCATTGGCAACATCAGCTATGTTTCAGTAAAACTTTATTGACAAAAACAGGCAGCTGGTCACATTTTTCCTGCAGGTCATAGTTTGCTGACCCCTTCCCTATTTTAATTCTTTAGATTGTTTTTTCATATATTCAGCTCCTTTCAGGCTAACTTCCAATGCAGGAAACAGTTTAACTAAAACCTTTCTTCTCTGTCCTAATCATCTAACAGAGAGGCAAGACACCCCTATGTCAGAAAGCTATACTTCCTACCTTCTTGAATCATTGAGATGTTTGTTCTGCAAGTGAAGATTTGCTGCTAGTTGCTTCTTTATAATCCATTATTAAATTGGACACTGGCTGTAACCCTAAATGAAAATTTTCCTTGTTATCTTTATACTTCAGATTTGTGTGTGTGTGTGTGTGTGTGTGTGTGTGTGTGTGTGTGTTTGCCTACGTTATACTTCTCTCTACATTTCTCCACTTCACTTTTCATGTAACACAGCCATAGTCAGAGAATTATTTAGAATTTAGTCAGTCACGTCTTCTATAATTAGATCAGGCTGACATGTTTAATAGTCTTAGATTTTAAGTGATTTGGAGGTTGTATATACAGGTCATAGTGGGTAAATATAGTTTAATTTCCTTCCAGTTACATTCTGTTCTATTCTTTGTGATGGTCTTATCCCTGTTTCATAATTTTATAGAGTTTACCAGTGTCAGTAATTAGGTGTGTGGGTGTAGCAGGCCACGTGGAAAACAGAGACAAATAAACAGATAATTTAAACTTAAAGACAATGTTAAGTAGAATATTATCCCAGTATTTATTGGAAATATCCTCTTGAAAAACTTCATAAAGATAACTAAAATTCCTGTTTATTATATATGATGTATACATTACTTGAAATCGGGGATCTCTTCCATCCCACCAAACTTGCCACATATTTTAATTGGAATATACCTATTTACATGGTTTGCTTTAATTGTGTATCTCATCTCTATTACACTATTATTTCCACAAGGTACAAATTGGTTCTGAATAGTAGCCTTGTTTATGGAAGCTATAAGGATACATATATAATAATAGAGGTTATTCATCACTTTCAGTATGCAGTGTTTTTGTTGGGGGAAAAAATCAACTAATTTCTTACCACAAAAAATTAGTAAAATGTCTAGTTGAAGTTAAGTTGCGATCTCAACACTTTCAGTTGTATTATAAATATAAAATAAAAACTGTCTAGATTAAGATTCTTTTCATAATTACAGTGATAGCATTAATATCTTAAGGAATTGTATATGTTTAATTGGTAACATTAATATTAATATAACAAAGCAATGTCTTTTGTTAATATATAGTTGAGAAAATGTTGATTTACTAATGCTATTAATGAGAATGAGAATGGATTCTCTGTGTAGCTATCATTTTTATGTTTAATCACATACCCATTCATGCAGTTTGAGGTACTCTTTACAAGACATGAAAAAGATTCCACCTTGCCACCCAGTAGCAAACAAAAAAAAGCCTATGTGCATGGATGCAAGAGGGCCTGCTTAGCAGCCAGCACCTCTCTTCAGGCAGAGCGACAACTGGGAACAGAAGTTGCAGGTTGAGCTCTGTGTCATCAACAGATTGGAATGAGTGTAATGTCTTTGGCACACTTGCACAAACACACATTTTCCTCTCAGCCACAGACAAGCATATAGGAATTCCAGCAATCAATAGCAGAAGAGAATTTACATAGCTAGAAAATAAGAAACCTGAATTGAACAGGCTGTGACCACTATAACTGATTTTACCCTACTATGTCACTTTCTGTCCCCTGGAAATTCGATTTTAAGATTGCAGGTTTAATATATTCAAGAACCAGAGAAGTCATCATCATCATCATCATGTCATGGAAATTGTTAACCTTTATTGAATGCTTAATATGTGCCATTAACTTGGTTCAGTGCTTAACAGTTTCTACCACATTTATAATTATCTCTATAGTGATAATGAGCTAAATTGTCTTAAGTTTATAGATGAGGAAACTCTGACTGAAAAAGTTAAGTAACTTAACCAGACCCACACATATGAGACAAAGGGCTGACATTTGGACCCAGGCAGTTTGACTACAGAGCCCAGACTGCAGACTCTTACCCAAAATGCCTGCTATAAATGTATCATTTATACCTCATAATGGTCTGAACAAGCCTTTGGGACCCATCCCTAGAGACGAATGAGGCATTCCTCAAGAACGTCTCCTCCCTGGCCTTCCTGTAGTACTGTTCTACAGCAGGAGGCCCAACAATGCGAGGTCAGGATGACCTCGTAGAGCCCCATGAGACAGGCTGCTGACGCAGGCGTCCTGAGCCACCAGCTCCATTACCCACCACTTCAGAGTGGCCCTTAACAACATCGTCACTGAGCAAGATGTAAAAGAATAATTCTTACTGTGTGGACCTTCACATAGAAATGCTGGCCCTCATTTGGATGAGTAGAGACAGCACGCAGCTCTGTATTTTAGAGAACAATGGGCCCCTACTCAACATCTTTTAAAATTTTATCTGCTATCTGGGCAAACAGACCAAGTTTTGACTCTATGTAGCAGCAGAAAGAACATAGCCCAATTTTTCCTGGCAGACACCAAATCCACGATAGTGCAGCACTTAGCATTACGTATTAAGAAGTCCTAAAATTGCTAACTAGGAATGTAACTTGTAACTGTCACTGTTCATAAAGATAGGAAAATTTTTTAATAAAATCGTGCAAAATGGAGAGTTGAACAGCTGTGACTTTTGTACCAATGTGGTTCTCTCTCCTCTTTTGTGAAATTATGTCTGCTGGGTACATTTTGGTTTTAATGGCAGTTATACAATTTGCTTAACTAGCTGCTGGTCCAGAAGACACGATTTGCTGGGACAGCTTTGATGCAAAGCTGTCTTCTCTGGCACAGACAGAAAAGCAAACCATATAACTGTAGTTAAAATGATAGTGGAGACTAGCAGATGTGATTTTCATGTAAAGGTTTTACAAGTTTTTCATGTGATGCCACACATCTGCTACTATAAAACATTACTTGTATGCAATTCCAGAAAGTATGAAAAAAACTGCATAGTGTTTTCAATGTGATATTTAATATAAATGGAAAATTGCATTCATTTCCTGGTTAGTGGTAAGTTTCCATCATGAGGTAGCAATTTGGAATGTGGTTAGAGAGAACTTGAACTCAGTATCTTATGTTAATAATGCTTCATGCCTTTGAGTAACCTTCTAAATTTTCTAGGGAAAAAGTTCCTAACTTTAAAGTTTATAAAAAGTCAGTACACATGTAAAACATTTCCAATTACAAATAAACATAAAATAATATCCTTTTTTAATCTCATTAAGGAAGCTCTAAATCTTAT